TGTGTGTATGCATGAGAGAAAGGAAGGCAAGGCTAGAATCTCTGTAGAGCTAGAAATTCTAACCATGGCCAATTTTGTAACAGCCAGATCTACGGAAGCTTCAGTTCTGAAGAGAGAGTCAAAATATGAGAAATGTGACCTTGTGTGGAAAACCCAAGAAAAATATAAGGTTTCAAGAGAAAGAAATATGGAAATTCAGTCCTATAACTTTGATGAAGTGAAACATCAGAGATGGCCCAGCATTTAAAAATAAAATAATTTGTAGTGGGAATAAGCAATATAGTGTCCGTGGCCACTAACAAACCTGCAGACAACCCACAAGACAGGCTCCCTACCTTGCCTGATATAGCAGAAAGTATCTAGAGCAGTAGAGAGAAAGCAAAGAATACCAATTGCCCTATTAGTAAATGGCCATATTCATCATGAGAGCCATATTGTGAAAATGCACTCTAATAATGACAGCCATTATGTAAAAGCTCCTATAATATATTCTGAAAATTCTATTTGTACCCACTAGTCCAAAAATATTGCTTCTGTATTTAACATTATCCCAAAAGACTGCAATCCTAAACACATTTAGAAAGAAGTGAGTTCTATGTGAGGATTGCAGCTGCAAAAACTTGGATGCACTAGATGACAGCAAAAAGTTAAGAGTTTCTGTATCTCTTTGTTTCCCTCTTGGGATCATCCAGATTTTTGCAGGCCAGATCTAACAGCCCTACTCCCACTAAACATAAAGAAAATTACCTTTAGGGTAGGCATCACAGGATTGCAATTTTAGACACCATTGTTTCCCTTCATTATGGTTTTACATGTCAAGTAATATTTTATATAACACTAGATTACCTTCAAAAACAACAACTAACAAGTTCTTACCTTCCAACTGGCAGTACAATGCCATTCTCCATTTTCACCTTTGTCCCAAACCTATTAAGACAGACATGTTTTATTACAAAATGAAGACATATATGAATCTTCATAACAGATCTTGTATAAAATCTTATCAGAATGAGACTCCATAAACACTCCAATTAAATCCCAAGTCGTATATAAGCAAAGTAAGAAGCTACACATATTCTTAACAGATAGAAAAAACAAAATCAAGTTCAGAAGTATTTCCTTCCAAATGAACAATCTTATGACTAAGAAGTAAACCAGAACAACAAGTAACTATTTTTGGCTTCATAATAATTCTGCCACTATTTAATTACAGCATAATAACTTGTGGCTATTTAAATCTCTCCAATTATAAAAATGAATTAGTGCTACTGGTCACAGGAATATTTTATGGCTTACTGTTTTGGCTTTTTGTTAGCTCATAAACCTCTATGAACTAAGGACACGGAGGATACCATTAGGGTTTGTTTACATACCACGCTAAGGACAGAACAAGATTATCTGCCTCATGATTTTTACATATGATTTGAGGTTTATCATTCCATTTGAATTTGCAGAAAACAGTTTTTGAAATGAAAGCCCATTATAGTTTCAAATTTCAATTACTGTAAGTACATGGCAGCTGCTCCAAATTAAGAGAGCATGGCTAGTCTAAGAGGATAAGATGGCACTGTTCGCATCCCATTAATTATCCCCTTTGCCTTAAGCGCAATACTGGGTGAATGCATTATACTAAGCTATGGTTTGCTTAACCCTGCTTTCTAAATCAAATTACAGATGGCTGGATTCAAACCTACTAAACCACAAACCGTGCCTCCCAATTCAAACCACAATGGCTGGATTCACGCAACATTCCAAACTCAAACACCTCCCTCCAGTTCAGTTTAGCATGCTGTGCAAATCCAGCCAAAGTGGACTTTCCTTTATATATTAAAATGCTGACTTGAAAGATGGTTCCCAACATAGAATTCCGTTATCCTACTAACAACTGCACCTTCTACCCAACCAAGTTGGGGCAAAGGCACCTTATAGGAAAAATGCGACTAGCCTGAACGAGCATGTTGACTGGCTCATCCTGACACATTAGTCAAAAAAGAAAAGACTTTCGACCTTGGTCTGGCCCCCATCCTTTCCCGCACCTTAACACTCTGGTCACTAGAGCAAGTCGCCATGCGCCGCCCATGGAAGTCAAAGGAAACATCGTGGATGAGGTCGCGGTGATCAGCCGCGATACTTCGCGCCACGAACATCCCGGCGGCCTCGCCGTCTCAGTCAAGAAACGTTTCTTTCTTCAGGAGAATCAGCAAAACCAGCGACCTTCTTTCACTGGAACCCTCCACGAAAAAGAACTCCCTTTCACGCAGCTCAAACAGGCGCGCCGGGCTCATAATAATTGCGTTAAGCGTCGAGCTGTCGTCAAAAGGAAGCGACCAATCGCTTTCGTCGCTAACGCTTACGCTCTTTTCCCGTTAGACCAACGTTGCTCAACTCTGACGCGTGGGCTTCTACTTCCAGAATTCCCCAGCCAGAATCCCGGAATTCTGGGAGTTGAAGTCCACGCGTCTTAAAGTCGCTGAGGCTGAGAAACACTGCCTTAGATGGAAAGAGACACAGCCCCGGAAGTTTGAGAGAGAGATTTAGCAGAAGTCTGTACTGTAGTTCTGATCGAGCCAAAAAGGCACATGGAATATGGGCTGATAGGGAATAAAGACTTCTAGCGTTATCGCCGATTGAAGCCCTCTCCCCCAAACCTGTAGTACAACCATAAACGCTTTTGTTTTAAAGAGACGAATCCCAGTAAAAATAATCAACAATTTTGTAACTGTTGAAACAAGCTGGAATTCTGTATGTACTTATCAGAGATTAAACCCATTTGAATTCAAGTGGGTTTACTTGAGTAGCTGAATGAGAGTGCACTCTTATGCAGCAATTCTATGTACATCTGAATTCAATGAGCCTTTCTAGTCGATCAATGAACAATGACACTGCAATATATGTATTACCGTATATCAAACATTTTAGTCATCTGAAGTATATTCTACAACTTCTTAATATTTCAAATGCTACAAACCTTATTTTTCCTGCTACAAAATAATAGAAGTATCCCTCTGGAATGCAGTTATTTATTTTCTTTCAGGCACACTATATATATTAGAGTCCACTGGAACTAATTCAGATGCATCGTATGATGAGGGTTAACTCTAAACCAATAGCTATGCTAAAATAAATCTGTTGGTAAACTACCTTTGAAAGAGCTGTGAGAGACATGGAGGAAGCTAAACTTGTATATTCTTCTTGAATGGAAGAAAAATTCATTTTTTCTTTTAGCCCTGACAACAGCGTGTGCATGCTAGTGTGTGCACATGATTCTTGCTTTCGCCAACGTTTATTTTATATAAGCAGAAATGGAGCAGCTAATTTCAGTCATTATATAAGTACCTTATTCTAAATTGTCTTCAGAATACACAAACTAAAAAGCTGTAAGATTATTCAGTAAATGTAATACAATCTAAATCTGAGGAGACACATACTGTCTCACTGGTAATACTGGTTTTATTTACACAAGCTATCTCAACAGTACTGTAATAGAACACATAGTTATTGCTTGTCAAGCCAAAAAAAAAAAAATCCCAGGAAACATCAATCATAAGCCACTCTGAATCATCCTGATGAGTTTGCACAGAACTAGATTCAAAGGCATTTTTTATTATTTAAGTTGTATTTAAACAGGGCCACAGTAGGGTTAGGACTTTTCCTTATGTGCTTTATTATGCCTTATAGCAACTGTCTAATCTAGCTATAGTTGACAAGCTATGCTACAATTGTAACTAGATGCATGGACAATGTCACCATAATACATCAATTAATACAAGATAAGGCCACTTTGAAAGGTAGAAAGGTAGCCAATGAACGAACTACTGAGGAAGAACAGAGGTCATGTACCAATAGCACTGGTATTTATTATGTGGCTGAATTAAAGCTGAAAGGATGTCCCACTATCATGACTGAACATTGGCATTTTTGGGTCAGGGACCTGAAAGAGACATTACAGTGACATCCAAGGCCATGTTTTTTTCAGTTGTAACATATGGCTATGAAAGCTGGCCCATCAGAAAGGCTGAAGAAAAAATTATGCATTTGAATGTTGGTGGAGAAAATTGTTGAAAAAATACTTGGACTACAAGAACAAATTGTGCAGTATTATATGAAGTAAAGCCAGACTGCTCACTGGAAGCACTATTAATGAAGCTAAAATGTAAATATTTTGGACACATAATGCAAAGGCAAAAGTCATTGCAGAAGACCTTGATGCTTGGAAAAATGAAAGGGAGTTGAAAAAGAGGCTGACAAGACAGCTAAGGAAACAAATATGAACTTACAAGCCACTTATGACAGACAAAGCTGGCAAAATGTGGTTCTTCATTTCACCAAGCTTCAGAAGTGACTGACTGAATGACATACAAAACCATTGCAAAACAGTTTACAAACTATAAAATATACCAAACACTAAATTAAAATCAATATAAAAATGTATACAGTAAAAAGTTGATAGGAATGAAAACAAAGCAGAAGCAAAAATTATTTGTCCACTATCTGACCAAGATTTAAATGTATAATACCAAAGATTCAGTTGTCAGGCCTGTTGGTGTTGGGAAGAGAAGACCATGTTGTCCCCCAAAAGCCTGACAATGACTCAGGCTAAGCTATATGTTGCTTCACTATGGTTTACTGAATAAGCCATGAATTCATACAAGTCAGAAACCAAAGTTTACAAGCCACTATACTTGTGTTCACACAATGCATTTATCCCAAAACAACTATAGTTTAGTGTGTTGTGCAAACTCTGTCATTGTATGCGAATGATTTATGGACCAGTGCGTAACTTGAACCTAGCCAACTGTGCATCATTCAATAAGCTACAATTAGAGAAATCGTGGCTTAGTGCGACGCGAAACCCAGCCCGAAAGTTAACTCATTCCGGTAATTTCCCCACATAAAGCGACTAATGACCTAATCCTAGGTGTGCGTTTCCTCTCTCTCTCCCGTCCTACTCCGTCAATGGGCGGAGTTTCAACTCTAATCTATTAGGTGGCCAATGCGCATGCGTCTGCTCCGAGAGTCAGGGAGCCGCTGAGTGCGCGCGCGGTGCGGAAGCTCGTTGAAGGTAACGCGAGCGGCACAGGGGGCGGGTTTGTCGTCCTCGCCCTGTCAGCAGCGGGAGGTAGGTGATGAAGTTGCCGATTTCCAGCGGCTCTCCTCCACCCTCTGGCTATCGCCGCCATTATGTCCGTCATCGCCACTATAGAACAGGAGTTTCAGGAGGTCGACGCTGCTAACGACTGGCAGGCCCGCTACTTGGTGAGTGAGGGTGGGGCGGGGGGAGGGAGAGTTTAGGAACCGGGGGCCGCTTCGAGCGGAAGAAGAGAAGAAATCGCCGGGGCCCGGCGGGCGTTCTCCTGTACGCGCAGAGGCTCGGGGGGAGGAGGGCGCCGTTCCCGGATTTTAGAAGGGAAGCGGAGGG